TGGTAGCGGGGTATAAATAAAGATTATTATTATTATTATTATTATTATTGGCATTTAAATATTATTATTATAGACACAAATATTATTATTAAAGCTATATAGTAGGGCTGGGCGGTTTCGTTCGTTAATTTCGTAATTCGTTATTAATTCGGTTTTTTTTATAACGAAGCGATATCGAACCATTCAGGAGCAACTAAAAAATGAAACGAATTTTTCCAATTCGTTTCGTAATTATTTATTTATTTATTTATTTATTTATTTAATACACTTGTATACCGCTAATATCTCAGCCTGGATCGGCGACTCATTGCGGTTTACAACAATTAAAAACAATCTCCAATCTAAAAACATATACACATAAAATTCAAATTATTGGGCCACCAATAATCCCATATATCTTGAATTAAAATCATAATCCAGAATTCGTTGTCCATATTTTCCTGTCCTTAGTCATCAAGATTCGATTGCCACAGATTAGCCGAATGCTTGTTTGAACAACCATGTTTTCAGTCTCTTCCTGAACACCATTAGCGAAGAGGCTGATCGTACCTCTATAGGGAGGGTGTTCCAAAGCCGGGGGGCCACCACAGAGAAGGCCCTGTCTCTCGTTCCCGCCAGCCGCACTTCTGAAGCTGGAGGGATAGAGAGAAGGGACTCTCCAGAAGATCTTAGGGTCCTGGTGGGCTGATAGGCTGAGATACGTTCGGATAGATAAGTTGGGCCAGAACCGTTTAGGGCTTTAAAGGCCAACGCCAGCACTTTGAATTGAGCCCGGTAGCATATCGGCAGCCAGTGGAGCTGGTTCAGCAGAGGAGTTGTATGCTCCCTGCGCCCTGCTCCTGTTAGAATCATGGCTGCCACCCGTTGGACTAGTTGGATCTTCCGGACTGTCTTCAAAGGCAACCCCACGTAGACAATTCTTTCGAAATTGTTTCGAAATTGTTTCGTAATTGTTTTGTTATTATTTCGTTATTATTTCCGTATGTCTGGTGCAAGTTTTATAGTCGTTGTTTGTTTTATCAGTGATAAAAAATAAATTATCACACCAACAGTCAACAACAGAGGGAGAGGGAAGCTTCAGAAGTTCCCCCTGTCCCATTTGGAGGGGTTTTTAGCGTATTGCGCAATCGCGTCCGCCATTAACGAATCGATTCGTTAGTGTTTCGAAATTGTTTCGTAATTTCCGAAATTTCGTAAATATCGAACTTTTTAAAAGAAAAATTTCAGAATTCTTTTAAATAACGAAACGCAAAAAACCTCTAAAAACGAATCGAGTTTAGAAACAAATTTTTCCGTGGTTGGACAGCCCTACTATATAGGTATTATTATAGATGTTATTTATTTATGAATTTCATATCAAAAGCATTGCATAAATTAGTATAAAACTGATTGAAA